TCAATGACGAGTGAACTAATTATGCCACATCAATCAACATTTTAATACACCTTCGTATAAACTTCTGTATAAATCGTTCAATTCATAAATTTCACACACGGATATAAAAGACTAAAGTTAAGGTGTCCCTTGATTATCTTTCTTCGTTTAAAATCTTCTTGGAGGAAAAGAAAGAACGTAGTTGGAGGTTCTTGATCCCAAGGAACAAGATCAGATGTGCCCTTACAAATCTGTTTAAGCATACATGACTAAAAAATTAGGAGCGGGGTGAGGTCACTTGACCGATATTACAATAATGTTATCCCATACAAATTCAATCGGTCTTTGTTAAGTCAATATTTTTAAAATCTTTTTCTCTAAAAAACGTTTCATTATTTGAAAAGAGAACAATTAGTAAAATACATACAGAATCTAATTAACTAAAATCAGTCGTTTCTGGTATAGTTATGTGCGTTATAATTAGTAATAAAACATTAATGATTCAAACTAAAAGCATTGAACTTCATACAAACCGAACTGAAGTATGCCCCGCCATACTTATAACCCTGATCAACCACTGAAAATGCTGAAATGACCGGAAACGACCAAACTACAGGTTCACCACTTCCTCGATTTTCAAGGAGAAATCTCTCAATTTTATATTTTCTTGAACATAAAAAGTAGTTAATTTGAAAAAAAAAAGTAGTAATGATGTTTTCTGACCCTTCGTATACAAATCCTTCAAAGGTGTTACAATTTGATTAATTAAATGAAACAAGATGTAAGTGAAAAACATGTTTCTGTAAATGTACTTTTCTTTTATACACGTGGAATCTATTTGAAGATCGATCAATTTCTAAAATCGTCTCTCCAAAACAGCAAGGATAGGTAGACCAAGATGACCAGAAGCGACCAAAAAAACAAATTAAATTTCCTACATACCTCGACATTTAACTGATAACATTAAATCAAATAATAATAATAAAACGAGGATAATTAATTACATCGTATAAATAATTTTCATTATGAGGTTATAGGAATGGAGTTTTGAAACGAAGCTTAGCGAAAACGACTCATCCGTTTTGATATTACAAACGCCAAGTTAATGGATCGCTCTTTGCTTATCAACAAAGTTATTCATTGTTTACAAACAAACTGCTACCCTCGAATTCTTACTAACGCGCGTTCTAAAGAAACTGATATCGACCAGTAAAAAAATCAACTATTGTTCCAAAAAGGCTGTTTACCTTTCTTCCTCTTTTCTGTTTTTCTGGAAGCTTCAGTGACTGATTCATGTGAAGGAATGGCACAAAATTGCGTTACTTTTTTACTGGTCATTCAGATTTATATTAAAACAACCGCGAATACCTAAAAGTTGAATTATAAAAAAATGGGTAAAATAATAGCTAAATATTTGTCAACTAGATAATTCTAATAAAAATAATTAATTATGTGACAGCAACTAAAAATAAAAGTCTAAACTACAATAAACTTCAAACTACATGTTGTAACAATGCAATTCAATCTTAACAAAATATAAATGTATAAACTATAAAATATTTCTAAACTAACTCCTACGATTCCAGGCGTAAATTTAAAATATGGTATTTAGCGGGAGTTTATTTTAAATTTATTTTTATGGTTTTACATTCATATTTTTTAAAGCGAACAATAATTCATTTTCTAAGTTGTATTGTGTCCTTTGGACGCCTCCAACCATTCCACGTGAAACTCTTAAAGTCTTAAATGAACACATTGTACTTTTTAATTTTTTTTTTTTTTCTATTTTAAGGATGCCGTAAACTTGAGACATTGATCTGACACCACGATTTGTCGTTAGTTAATTTTATTTGTTCAAAAAACTTACCGATAGAGAATACTTCATTGTAACAGCTACTTTTTTATAATAATTCACAACTAATTATCAAGTATTCTTAATATACAAAATGTACAATTAAAAATATGTGTTGATACCTGGAGGATTTTTCTACTTTACAATATAAGCCGTAAACTTCCCTTTGTCGTCATAATAAATCGCATAACCAGATAATAAATTAAATTCGCAATAAAATTAAAAACGTTTTTCGCAAAATCTTCTCATTTTTTCCCTTGGAATATCTGTATAACCCTCTTATAAAATAACAAATTCACTCTAAAATGAAAAATTTATGAAGTCAGACTTACGAAATAAATATCACCAAGTATATAAAGATTTTATGCTTATTACATAGATGATAAAAAGTTGCAAAATGATATTTACATGTTTATTCATATACTAACATATTGTATTGAACCATATTCCAAATTGTGAGGCTATTAAATTAGTCTTGGATGTTGCTTTATCTTTTTTTATATGGAACATCTAACTAATCCGTTTAATTGAGAAATATTAAAAAATTAATTAATTTTTAAGTGAAAATTTGAAAAACGTTTAGACAAAAATGTGCAAAAATCATTGGTTCCTGTTATGAACACGTCCGTAATATTTTTATTGTTTTACTTCCGGTTATAAATGAAAAATACTAAAATATTTAATTTTTTTTAAAGACATGCATACAAGAGCCTTTATTTCTACCTGTCAATGAACACAATAGTATTTCTCTAAGTATAATGTTACAAATTAAATTAAAAAACTGGCCCTTTAAATGAAGGCCAACGCTCAACAGAAACACGAAATTCATTAAACAAAGAGATAGCTCTTTTATTTGCTTAGTCTCATATGTTCAAACATGTACAACAATGTACAGTTCTTCTTCATTTTTCTATTACAATTCACTCTAGTATTTCATTACTTGTGTGTTTTTATGTAAAACAAGTTTGAAAAATGCGATTATATATGGTATCAATTATAGATTTTGGAGAGATAGGCGCCAACCGGATAAACTCGTTCGGTGAAGAATTTGCAAAATTTGATATTTAAGCGATCAAATTCAGCATGCATGCAATACCAAAAATACTTAAGCGAATTTTCTCTCTATTTATTCAGAATAATCGCAATTTGACATTTTCTTTTTATGGGATCTATTTTTGAAAAATCACCTAGTGCACTTTGTGACAAAATTATAAAAAGTATTTTTTTATCCAAAGACTGAAAAATGTGTTGTTTTAGACAAAATAATATCATTTTCACTTAATGACAAAAAAATTCCCTATACGAAAATTATAAGAGATAGCTTTTCGACATTATAGAATTCTAAAGCGCTTTGAAGTTGTTTCAACTTAGAGCATCAACTGTAACTGTTTTCTTTCAAATTTTATTTTTATTATGCTCGAAGTATTCATTTAATTTTTTTTTATAAACCTTATCACTTTGAAAAATGGAAAATCTTCTTTTCATTTCAACCTCATTTTCGGCGCTTGGTATAAAATATTTACCTTGTAGTAGGTATCTGTCAAGAATAATTAGCCTTTTCTTGAAAAATAATTTTTAAATAATCCATCAGCGTTATCTAAATGGGTTTTGGTGTAAAATCGCTATAATTTTTCCACCTAGGGAGTCAAATTTGGCTGCCGCTTTCCTAAGGCGTTCCATTTTGTGCGGAGAACCAGGCTGAATCAAAAAGACGCTCGTACAAAATTTAATTCCACGGTCCTTATGCCTCGTTTCTTAATTAATTTTTTTTTTGTTCTATTGGATTTCTAATCGGTTCAGAATATTTTTAGATATCTAACACTTATGGTTATTTTCGACTGCACAGTGAAGAAAATCGAAATACAAATATTTTGTGTTAAGACCAGTTTAGAAACTGCCTCTGCATCCGCGTCGCGGTTCCGGCCAGTAAGATTAAATCGTTCAAAGTCAAATTAAAAAATGTCCAGCAATAATTTGAAATGTTACAAACACGATTAAATTTTGTCTAATAATAATTGCATTTTAGGCATTTGTAATTTGGCCTTATTTTCTTAGAGCAATAATACCAAAAACTTGTTTTTCCAAACTGGCCATAAGGGAATGAATAATTTTTCAAAGTTCAAATTGTCATTTTTTGATTTTCAATGAACACCTACTTACTTTTTAACAAATTATGTTAAATGTATTTTAGATTTATTTCGCAAAAAAATTTTATTCGGCTTTTTTTCCGTTTTTGTTTTCTTCTTTCTATTCTATTTTGGATTGTTTATTGATAGATTATTAAAACGTTTCTTAATTTTTTGTCAATTTGTGGCCTTTTCTTGAAAATGTAAAGTCCTGAAATAAGAAATTAGAAAAGGTTTACTTACAAATTAAAATAAAAGGGGAAAATTTCCAAAAACGGTGTACGAATAATATGTAAAACGTTTTTCAGGCTGACAGACTGTTAAACCACAGAATTCAATACCGCAGATAGATTTTCTAATTTGTTAATTTTATCAGTTTCATATCAATACTATCGAATATTATTTTTCTAGTCGTGATTGTCATTAATGTACAAGCGATTTGTTGCTGGTTTGGTTCAGAATTCCAGTTTACAAAAATTGTGTGAATGTTTTTCAAGCATCTTAGATAACGAATTCTTCATTTATAAACTCAGTGAGAAACTACCGGTGTCGCGTTGATTGCAGTCAAGATAAGATGTTAACAAGGTGTGTTTTTTTTTTGTACCATTTGGCATGTTACAAACTGATATTATTTTAGCCGTCTATATCGCCTGTTTTGTATTTATTATAAAGCCGGTAACGGGGTATAATTTTGTCGTAAAGTGCATGTATATACAATTTATGCATCACATGAATGAAGAGTCGGGAGCGGTTGAGGGCTGAGGAACCCAGCATTAAATTAAAGGGCAGCATTTAAATAGTGCTACGAAACAAAAAATGTGCACATAGAAGACGAGAATGGTTATACATTTCTATTATCGAGGGTTCGAGGTGTTTCTTTATAAGGCGGGGTTGTTTATATCGCGGGTGAAGTTATATAATAGGAAAACTGCGTAGTTGGCGGTGAATTATAAAATGTGCCGGACTGGATTAGCGAGTGGGGCAGCGTCGTCGGAATGTAGTGTCATTCATTGAAAGACGGTTCATTGACCAATTTAATTTACCTTCCATCCAGCGGAGCTGTTGCTGTCCCCCTTGTCCTTGAAATAGGCCACGTTGTGCACCATCCATTCGTAAATCTGGGATAGGGTGAGCCTTTTATCGGGCGCGGAACCGATCGCCTGGGTGATGAGGTCGGCGTACGAGAGGTTCCCCCACGCGTTCCTCCTGGAAGAATTCTTCTTGAGATGTGAGGCACCCGGAAGGGCAGCGACGACCCCGCATTTCTGTTCTGCCATTTCCACGCTGCTACTATCCGGTTCGGAGAAATTTTCCGGCCTCGGCAAAGGCCATGTGTTGGACCTCGCCCTCGTCTGAGGTTCCATTCCCATTTCCACTTCTGTCACTGACGGATCCATCGTTCCCCCGGTCACAACTCACAAATTAAAACACATGTCAATTCGACACGGAACCCGTGCAACGGAATTTGCACCTGTCCAACACTCGTGTGTTTACGTCTCCTACGTCGATTACGTCTGACAATGGCACGAAGAGTGGACAACCTTCTCACTCGGTGCCGGTGAGAGATCTGAGCCAGCCGAGCCACGGGTTAGACGCAGAAAATTGCTGGACAGCTGACTCTGACGTAGAGGTGCGCTTTCGCCTCGTGCGCACCCGCTACAACAAGTGTTGCTCTTCCCTCCACTCACTACGACAGATAATTACCTTTCCTAACTAGATACGACGCTCACGCTTTACTACTTGGTCCACCTTTCCACCCTTTAACACTTTCTTTAACATTATCTCCCTCTCCCGTTATGTACTTTTTCTTCCTCCGACATAGTCCTCCGCCGGCGACCGACGTCCGACGTCATCTGTCACCCCTCATACTTCATTCCTTCTCACTCACTTTCTACGCGACACCGCTAACTAAAATCAATTTACGACCTGGGGCCCAACAATAATCCGCTCACAGCGGGGCAAAACTGGAAAAAAAATATTTTGACAATTTCTGGTAGATTTTTATTTTAACGTTTCTCGCCACGACATTTTTTTAAGTAATAAATAGCATTCACAGAAGAATGCAAAAAGTCAAAGTTGCCTGCGTGAGAAATTCATTCAGAGCTTTTTGCATGAAAACGTTATTAAAATTATCTGTTTTAAAAGTTAGAAGTATCAAACATTTTTTCACTCACGACGGGGGCGTCGGTGGTCGCGACATTTAGGCGTTGATACGGCGCTTAAGGTAAAGGTCCAGAGTTCGAATCCAGCGGCACTGCATTCGAACCCGACATACTGTCATACCTAACAAATGGGCTTTTCTTTTCAAAAATCCGGCACCCCGTGGGTAATAACATCGTCGTTGAAATACCCTCGTTTAAAATAAATAAATAAATCACGAACACTGTATCAAGGTATGGTCTCGAAGAAAAAAGTCAATTCAGTTGTTACTGCTAAGCTTTATACCTATTTTAAGGTTATCACCAGGGCTTACATTAATTTCACATTATGAAAAACATATTTGTACAATTAATTTAACAATCAATAAACTACAAAGAACTTACAAAACAATCTTAAATATATCTACATATTAATATATTTAAGTTTTTTTACTGGCGATATCAAATTTCCTTGAAGACCGACTCAGTTCTAACATGCCAAGGACTGTAACAGTGTTGTAATTTTATCCTGGAGATTCTCCTCTCGTTATCAAAAAACTCTTTTTAAAAAGGGCTTATGTTAATTTCAAATTATGAAAAATTTATTTGTACAATTGTTTAACAATCAATATAACTATCTAGAACCCACGACCTTCGGCTCAATACGCCGCTGCTCTAACCAATTGATGTCACTATATCTCAAGCGTATTGAGCCGAACGTCGTGGGTTCGAATCCCGCTGGTGACACTAAATTTTTCATCTCAACCAAGACCTTGGTTCAATGAAACAAATAAAAAGAATAATTATTTGTTATAAAACAATTTTAAATTTGTGTACAAATATAGGTTTTTACAGGTGACATTTTCCTTGAAGACCTAACATTGCCAAGGACCGTAACCAAAGATAATAGTTAATAGATTGTTAGATGATAATTCAAGGAAGATAACAAACGGTGAAAAAATCGATAGAAATATGAACAATCCCATCACGTTCAAGAGTAATAAGTACGCCCCAGTCATTTCGCTCAAGTTAATATATTTGATTAAGTAATACATACCCGACGTCAATTGTTGTTGGATAAGGAAGAAAAGTTTAATTTATAGAATATTGGTTATAGGTTCACGTTTAGTGAATGTCCAATCAAATACATTGGTAAAACGAAGCAGAATAAAAAATAGAATTTAAGGTCAACAAATCCAGAACTAGAATAGGAACTTTAATATCAAAGAGGGGTAAATATGACTTTTCGAATGTCGAGAGTCTCAATTATTCAGAAAAATAATAAAAGAGGTTCTACATACTAAAAAGGAAAACAACAGGAATAACTAATTATTCTTTTTATGTAAGGTCTCAGTTGAATTGAAAAGTTAGTGTCACGAGCGGGTTTCGAACCCAAGCCGAAGGTCATAAAAAGAATAATCAATTGAAAGTACTAATTTGGTCAATCAGACCACTAAACATAATGGAAATAATTGTAACATTCAAACAGATACTATGAGCTGAAGTTCAATTTATGAAGGTCTTATTGATTTTAAAAAGAGGTTTTGGAAAATAAAAGGAGAATCTCCAGGACAAAGTTGCAATACTGTTACAGTTCTTGGAATGTTAGGACTGAGTCGGAAAAAAAATGTTAAATTAATTGTACATGTTTTCCATAATGTGAAATTAATATAGGCCCTGATGATGTCGGGTAAAATAGGTCGAAAGCTTGGCAGTAACAACTGAATTTGCTTTTTTTCATCCAGACCATACCTCCATCCAGTTTCTATTATTAAAATTATCGGTAGTTTTTATCAATCTCGTAACTCCCTACCAATAATACACAAATATACCGCCAGTACGAACGTCTGTTAATAGTACTAATTTTCTTTTGGATTTTGAATACTAGCTCCAAGTACTTCTAAGGAACCTTTTGCTGGTTTAGATATTCCGGAGGTCCGAAGTTGTCGAATGTACTTTACTATATGCTGCAAGTGCCTTTAATCAATTTTATAGGGATAACAATAACGATAGTTTTATAGTCATGTTTTCTTTTGTAATTGTTATTCTTTTGTTTTCATTAAATTTTGAATACTAGCTCCAGTTGCCCTCCAAAGAACTACTTGTTGATACTTTAATATTCGGGTTCCAGCAAAGAACGCCACCGAATGGAATTTCATGATGATCACTCAGCCAAAAGAAGCACTTAAATGTTATATATTTGCTATCACTTGCTAGCCCCTTGTAAATATGATTGGGTTAAATGTTTCCCTTTAAATATACATTTCACCACGCATATTGTCAAAGGTGAATCTTTCTTAAAATAATTAGGTTTGTCTTTTGATTGTGCATAAAACTTATAAAATGTCACGCGTGATATCGTTTTTTCATTCGTTTTTACCTTTAATCTTTAGATAATAAGAAATTATGTATACAGTTTCTAAAAGAAAAGTCTTTATTTCTTAATGATTATGAATATTTGCAATCATACAGTTATTAAAAAAATCATTTTCATAATTACACCCATAAAACAGCGCACTTGAATGATGCTCTTTCTCTTGGCTCTTAATCTAGCCTACGTTTGACAAAAATTATTTTGCACGGGAAAGAAATTATTTAATAATTATGCTTTAATACATATGATCGCTTCTTTATATCCTGCAACAGCAGACAATCATCGTAGATAACAATAAACCATTTCTTTTTTATTTACGTGCACATTTTATTGCTTAACTTTTTTTAAGCACGAAACTATTACTAAAACAATTCCAATATGTAGTATTATGTGACATAATTATTCATATTTTTGTTTTATTTTTTGTTGTAATAATCTGTATTTATTTTACACTACCAACGTAAACACTTTTATTTCGGAACTAATTCGACTAAGCGTGAAAATGTAATCATTTTAAAATTATTTTGAAAAAGCGCGTTTATGTGTATTAACATTTGACAATCCGACATAGCTGCAGCCGGTTCGTCTATTCACTCAAAAATTGTTCCTTTAGATCCTGCACAAAATTTTACATGTAATTGGCACCAAAAATATGTAACTGGTATTGCTGAGGTATGTAAGGGTGTCTTTTTCATTTTTCAGGTGTTTCGCGCCAATGTGCGACGTCTTGTCACCGTTCATACTTCATTCCTTCTATCATTTTCATCTGCCATGAGGCGACGACATTCACTTTCTAAGCGACACCGTTAACAAAAATCAATTTACGGCGCCCAGCAATAATCGATTCCAGAAACAGGGTCTGACTCAAAGTTTCCAATAAAACAATTTAATCGTATAATTAAATAGTAATTGTTAAAGGATCACCGGAATTGGTAGTTTCGATGAGAATGCTAAAAATGGACCATTTCAATAATTTTTCTAATTGTCCAAGTAGCCGATGATCATTGCACTGAGTAATTACAAATAAACGTCCTAGCTCCATTCGTTTCTAATACGTAAAAGTACAAACCGTCGGCACCATGTAAAAGTGACGAATATGGATTTCTGTACCTTTGAGAATTAAAAAAACAGATCGGTCCTTAATTTTCTATAAGGTTAGTGAAATTTTAAATTTCAATTTAAGTAAATTTAATTTAAATTGAACCAATGTTATTTATTGTCATTGATATGATTTCATAATATTTTACTAAATAATAAAAAATGGACTAAAATATTTCTTACTTTACTGCAAAATGGAGATTTTCGATGGAATTTCGCCAAATTGAAGGCAAAGTATAGAATGTACAATTTTACAATGAACTTTCATTACTGAGGATTCGTTACTTAAACAACGGGGAAATTGAAAAATTGAAGAAAAAATATCTGATTTACGGTATTGAAACCATACGGAATCATTAAATATTATACCACGGAAAAAATGTCAAAAATTTCTTAGCAAAAAAAGCATGACCATAGAAGGATGTTTTCAGAAGGTGAATTAATAAAATTATTAGTTTTGTTCGAAATTAATCGTCTAGACTCAATTTTTATGATCCCAAGAAATTCATAAAGCTATTCAGTATTTTGCACCGTATAAAACAGTTGACTCATTAAAATATGATTTTACTCAGTAACGAATTTAATGAAATCAAATGAACTCCATGATTTGAAAGGGTTTTTATTGGAATTGATTGAAAATTGATGAATTTGGCGTATTTGTTAGTTTGAAATGATAGTTGCCAAGTATCGTGATCTGATCAACTGTGGATACTTTTGAATATGATTATTCATTACTTTATCATAAATATGTCTAACAACTGTAGAAATTTGTAAAACATTGCTCATTCCGGTGCCGACAATTACACATGTTGATAAAAATTATTCTTATTTGCAGATTGATTTGTTCCCTAGAAACTAATTAAAGCTAAAGTTATTGCTTTTTAAGGGTGACCAAAAATTTATTTTCTTTAACATTCACCTTACCGAGCAACCTAATTCGCTGAAATAGTAGTTATAATAATTTATAAGCCTTGACGTTTTATAAGACCAGTAGGAGGAGCCGTATACCAA